GATATAAAGGGAAGGAAATCTGTATTAAGAGAGCTTGTAATCGCTTCTTCCGCGCAAAAGTATATACGTAAGCTATGTATAATGTATACAATGAACTCGGTAAAATCTAGTCTTGATCGTTTAAAAATTTTCCGCTTAATAATTTTATTTTATTTTTAAAAAAGGATGTTCTGTAGAGAATCGAATTAACGATACAAATTCAATAAAACTCTGCAAAAACATATAAATATAGAAAATTTAAATTTCCTCGTAGCCAAGATGTATCTCTTAGCCAAGATATAATGATTATATTTTTGCTTCTTTTACGTGGGTTAGAATGGAAAACATTATTATTTCCATACTTTATCCGTCGTAAAATTATAGCATGTTTGAAATGAATAAAGAATTGAGGATCATTTTCACCCTTAATAATATTCTATATTCTATATATCCATCAAATATAAACTGAAGCAATAAACATCAAAAAGATAAGCATTATGAAATTTAAACTCGCTGGCAACATCGCAAGTTAAAGACATTAGAAATGAATGTGTGTGCATATTGCGCGCCATTTAAAATTCACAGTTTACAAAATTACACTACTTTTCATATACAACATTAGTTGGAAATGATTTACTTTTTTATTGTTGACAAAATGATTGTTTACCAAAAGTCTCCAGGTATCGAAAGTAAAAATAACGTTTCGGGGCTATGTGTTTGATTTTTCATATCATAAGTATTTCGAATATTTTTTGTCAGATATTTATGCTACATTCGTACATTATATACTTTTATGGAAACTTTTTTATTCTCAAAAGAATCGTTGGATATTTTTTGTAATTAATTATAGACATTTATAATATATGTCGAGTCAATAATCAATAGATCTGTTTATTTAGCAAAAGCTTGGATTCGACTACATGAACGTGTTTATCTATACAGCTTACTCGTTCAATGTTTATAAGTGTTTACGTCTATTCTATCTATGTAAAGCGATCTTTTTCTCTCGTACTAAAGAGAACATCCTCATAATCGGAGATTTCATTCCAAACGACTATCTATTCACTCGTTTTTCAAAATACATAAAACGAAAGAGTTGTTTTAGTTTGATGATTCAGCTAATCATTCCGAGTTTTTGATCCGAATAATAATGCTGCAATGAGAACGGGTAACTTTTCGGTATCGCTGATTTCCGATTCGAAGTAGTCGGGATAAATGAGGCCTCTTGACCGATACTACCGAAGCTAAACACGCAATTATACAGGAGAGCGCGGGCGAGCAGCGCAAAAAGTCCAAAGATGCGAATTGACCTATATTTTTGGAAGTGGTAATCGAGTAATTCTCGGGTTTTCACCACTAGCTTGATGAATAGCTTGATCAGGAGAAGAAAAAAAAAGAAATGGAGTGAAAACCCTTGATACGATGTTCGAGGGAGTCTTGTGAATACTTTTCATTACCATAAAAGTCTAGGGAAATATCTCATTGCACCGAAAGCGTTGAAATTTTTTTCTCCCTCTCGGCTCTTTACTTGAGCGCGCGTATACACGCGTACAGGTGTACGTACACACATATACATGGATACGCGGCGGAGTGGTATACGTGCGGGGGGGAAGCATCAGAAAAAGCGGATCGCGTTGCCGGTTTTACGCGCGGCGGAGTAAAAAAGTCGGTCAATCCGCGCGGGGGTATGCGAGCGAGCGAGCTTGCGAGCTTGCGCGCGCGTGGCGAAAAGTTACGGAAAGCGTACCACCGGAAAATTAGCCAAAACGATCGCGCTGCAGCAGCTATACTTTCCTTGCCAGCGCAGCGAGTGCAGCTGCGAGAGCTCGGCATATACATGCATGAACGCCTGTATACCAGAGATGTGTACGTGCGCGCATTTGCGTTTCAGTTTTCGAATCAGAAGAGACGAAGAGAAAGAATTAGAGTGGAGGGAGAGAGCTGCGAGCCGCGGGGGGAGGAGGCTGGGCTTGGCTAGAGAGAAAGATAGAAGGTTATAGATAGATGCGAGAACGAAGAGAAAAAACGTGAACAGCCAGAGAGAGAGAAAGAGAGAAAGAGAGAAAGGGAGAGAGAGAGGTTACGCTGGGCAAAACTGCGGCTATGTACAACTGCCTAGCGCTGGTATATATTCTAGCCACATGCGCGAGTAGAGCTTAAAAATATGATTTTAATACCGTGTGGGCATTCGGTTTGCCCGTTCATCATGCTTTTGTCTGCCTATACTATTGTCTCCCTCTCGCTCTCTCTACCTCTCTCTCTCCCTCTCTTTCTGCGAGTTTGGCCGTTCATTCGTATACAAGGCCCTCAAAGCTTCCCACCCACCCACGCACACACTCACACACACGCACACACACATGCGCGAGCCCTTACACACGTGCACACTGGTTCACTTGAGCGCGAGAACGTTGTGCAGCTAGGACCTCTATATATATACGTATATAGAACAGCAGCTGGCCGAACTAAAGATCGTTTTTTACCAACTAACCGAGCTCGTGCCGAGGGTATCTCTTTTTCTCACGACTGCTACCACTTCCACCCATGGCCCCGTACCAATAGCCGGTGCTGTGCTCGGCTTTGTACACGCGCGGCTCTATACGTATATACGTATGCGCGTTTGCTGCTACTGCTGCTGCTCGACGATCTCTATACGTATACCTACGAGACGTGCTATAACTGTATTCGCGGCAATTGTATGTGTGCCTAGACGCAGAACTACTGCGATGGCGCGTGCGAAAGAGCGAAAGAAGATTGAAACGTGCACCCTTCCTCTCTCCCTCTCCTCTCTCTCTTTCTCTCGTAATTGGAAAATTCGCACGCTCGGAGCGGCCGTTACTGGCGCCCACCCATCCATCCAGCCGCGTACGAACTCACCCACACACACACATACGTATACATACATAGACGGCCGAGAAACGACGGAATTTCGCATGCCGCTAGAGAGAAAGAGTAGAGGATTAATTGCTATGTACGCGCCAACGTCCGGGATGCTACAGGAAACGGCTCTGGGTGACAAGGCCGCGTAGCTCTTTTCTCGCTGTTGTTGCGCCGGGGAGCTATATGGCGAGCAGAGCGCGCGGCTACACATCCGGATCCGATACGTATACGCGAGGCTCTTGCACAGCCAGTTATAGCTACTGCTTATAATATATAGTTCTAGCCTTGCTTCGCGCTCGTCCAAATAATAATGCGCCCACTCCCTCTCCCTCTCTGCCCCCAGCCCCCCAGTGCCACTGTTACTACTACTGCCACTGCACACGGGTCACTTCGAATATCGCGAGCCGAGTATAAATTTTCCAAACGGACAGATGTATGTTCATAAGTCTATATGATGCATACGCGCGCACATGCAGTAGTGGCATGGCGCGCGCCTACCTGCACGACAATTTGCCTCCTTTTTTTTCGTTCGCTCCCTTTTTTTTTGCAAGCTCGAAGCTCGCAAGCTGCTTTGCCAACTGTTTAAAACGCTCCAAAGCAGTTTTTACGCGTCTAGCGCGGCGTGCGCGCGGATGCACATGTGCATTTCTTTCACTATTATGAACTCAATTTTTTAAAGGGGAAAGATTATACCACGAGTTCAGGACGAAATATTTACCGACATTTTACCCAGCTAAATTAATCGCTCTGAAATGGTAGAAATCTAATAATGGCCGTATTTTACGAGGCAGCTTTAGCATGTAATTTTATGAAATATGCACTTAGCGCGGCAAGAGGACGGACAGAGAGACAGAGAGAATATCCTAATAATATGCAATTCAACAATGGCCAGTGCGGCCAATGAAGCCAAAATGCAATCGAACGACAGCAGCAGATGCAGAACCTAACATATCTCAACGAAAAAAAAAAGAGTATAAAAAGCAGGGAATGGGGCAAGAGACAGAAAATATCATGCATTTACACGCTTATAGCAGGCCCGAAACGAACAAAAGAATCGCTCGGCCAAGCCCTGGCTTATACTCGGGTAATTTGTTAATTCCATTGTAAAGGACCGCCCTCCCTCGGTCCGATGCTAGCGTTATATTGTCTTTCCCTCTTTTATTGAGCGTTCCGCGCACATACACGCGCGTACGTAAAACAGACCTGGAACGCGCCAAATACCTATATTGAGCATGATTCACTATTTTACGTATAATATATGGCCTGAAATAAATAATTTCAGCCGAACAAGTATTCAAAAGGTCTTTATTATGGCCTTAATCGTCGATAAAAAGGAGCAAAAAAGCATCAGGGTAATACGACTATGCCTATTTTTCACTGCGTGAAAGCAATATGTTGGATGGTGCATTTATCTATCGATAGATACTGGTTTTACATAGCCGAAAATCTTTCCGTATACGAATGAGTTTAGCATTTAAAGATGCGCATAATATGAGAAGGCTAATTGTAAATATCAATGAGTATACAGCTAAATTCATCAACGAAAGCTCACAAGGAGAGGTATTTTGTTTTATAACTAAGAAAGCTTTTCAATGGTACACCAAAATCCATTGGAAATTTATGATGAATAGGTTTGATAAAGAGTTTATTTTGTAATTAAAATACATGAAAAACAATGTTAATTTTTGACAATGAGCTTTTTCCCAAAGCAATAATACTTTCGATACTGTTTTCTATAAGTAAGTCAAAACTATAAGCGTTTAAGAAAAATATATTCTTAATAATAATCTAATTTATTTATTAAAAAATGAATTGAAAGTTATAGCTAGCGATCACTTAAAAGTGGTTGCATCTGAGCTTATGGATTTCCTTAAGAAAATTTATACAACCTTAGCGCTGTAGCTAAAACTGATTTAAAAGTAAAAAAAAAATTGTATAAACGTCAAACTTCTTGGAAAACTAAAATAAATTTTTGTGAAATGTGTCAATATAAGTTACATCATTCAGTAACAGTAAAGTATTTCTCACACATGAGCCTTTTACCCAATTTCATGTATATGTAGCTTTTAGATTACATGATAAATATACATACGAAAAATTGTATACTCCAATAAAGTCTTTATTTTAATCAATAAATTCTACAATTTATTGGAAGCTTGATATTTAATTGTGAAGAAAATGAAAAGAATGTTACAAAGATTATAACTTCAAGAAGTAGATATGATTATATTTGTATACAAAGATGTAAATATATTTACAAATTAATAGATTGTAGTATTTAGAAACATTATAAACTTAATTTTTGATAGTTCTACCGTACTTTTGTACTTACTAAAAAAAATTGAATTTTATGCCTCGTACAATGATTCAGTTTACTTTGTTTAGTTTAAAATTTGATCAATTTTGTGGATCAGCGTGATTCCTTTCATGCAAGGAAAATCGGATTTTTTACGGTCATAGCGTCTCGAATGAGTTTCAAACGAACTTGTTGAACTAGAATCAATTCTAGGTAGTGTCATTTTTTAAATTACGCAATGTTTGAAGATAAATTTAAAAAAATGATTGTATCGAATATAGGATACTATATTCGATGATCAACATTTTTAAACGTTAAATTATAAGAGGCTATTTCTAGGGTCAGTTTCTGAACTTTGTTTTGATCAGTACTTCTTTCTTGGAGTTGGAGGAACCGCAGGACGTGAAGAATTCAAATTACTTTCGGAAACTGGACTTATTGAGCCATTGTTAGAATTCGAATCATCTTCGGAAACTGGATTTGAGCCATCGATAGATTTCGAATCATCTTCGGAAACTGGATTTGAGCCATCGATAGATTTCGAATCATCTTCGGAAACTGGATTTGAGCCATTGTTAGATTTCGATTCATCTTCGGAAACTGAATTTGAGCCATTGTTAGACTTCGATTCATCTTCGGAAGCTGGATCTGAGCCATTGGTGGGATTTGAAGGGCTTGGAGAACTCGAATCGACTTCGCCAACTGGAGATGGAACTTTTGGGATTGAGGCTCGTGATTTCTTTCGGGGAGAAGGAAGTTGCTGAAAAAAAAGTTTGAAAAAAAGTATTAGTTGGAAATCACAAAATCAAGTTAATTTGAAATACAAATGTGGCGATTAAAATGCATTTGAATTTCTTTGATGTCTGGTGAGTCTTACCTTAGGACCTGTGTCTGATTCACTTAAATCCTCACAGGACTTTGAAGGTGTAACTTCCCTTTTCCTGGATTTTCGACGAGATGCAGCATTTGAAGGCCCTGGTAAATTGTGTAAGTCTTCATGTCGTGGCGCTATGCTTTGCGCTCCTTGGCACTCCTCTTCGTCACTTGACTCTTGATTTGGAACCTTGAACGAAGTATCAAATTAATCAATAATAGATGTTGTTTTAATCATCGAGTTTCTGAATATTTCGTCTAAAATTCGCATTTTGTCGCGTAACACACTTATTTGTACGACTTAGATACGATTTTAAGAAAATGTATGAAAGTTAACAGTGACATTTATCGATTTCAACAAAATTAATAAGATATTTCATACATTTTGATTTGAATGTTCATTTTCATTTTCATTGCCTTTAAGTACTCTGACGTCATTGTTGGGTGCAGGGGGATCATTTGAAGGCTGTAGGTGATATCCATTGGGTTCCCCGTCAAACTCAAGTACAAGGTTTCCTCCCCGCTCTTTTACTCGCTCCAGACTTTCGTCCTGAAATAAAGTTTCAAATCGTTGCATTTCAAGTATCATACGTACAGATCTACTCCAGAATTTAAACTTACATCCGGACGTGATCTCCTAACGTTTCTTTTTTTTTGTGGGCATTTTTTAACATTATCCGAAGTCCTTTCGTCTTCAACAGGTATTCGGGGACCCTTAGATAAATGTTGTTATTAATAATTGAAGTAAGATATTGAAATAAGAGATTTATCGAAATAACGTACCTCATCGCTTGATGGGCTGTTGGTATTATTTGAGTTACCCGGAGCTTCTGACATTGTATGTACTTTGCTATATATTAAAAATGTTTTACTTTTACCGCACAAATGTATTTGAAACAAAAAAACGTCCTTTGAATTAAAAGAAGTTGACCAACTTTCTTTAATTTTGAAACCAACGATCGTATCGTCCCGACTGCCGAAGCACTACAAGCTTGAAAAATTTTCTCAGTAGCTGACGAGGGTAATGCTGAATGGTAAACAATAACAAATTTTTGGTCTTATTGTATTAATAGAATATGTCTGTTTTGGTTTGAAAAATGTTCAAATAATAACAACGTTTAATACACGAGAAACTCTGCGTAACGGCTATACCTATATAAAATGTATGAATGCCCGTTTTATTGTAAATTTTTTATGCGAATCATATGTTAATGAACCAATTTTGTCAATCACGATTATCGAACTTATAAAAATGTGTACTATAACAATCATGTTTTTATTACAATAATTACAACTTCTCATTTGGCTAATCGTAAATATCACTACGATTAGCGCATATAGGCTCTTGTGTATGCTCTTTGTGTATTTGACGAAGAGGAGCAAGTGTAATCATAATGGATGTTATCTGATAAAAATCAGAAATGCTTTCGTCGATTATAAAATTAATTTTTTCTACAAAAAATGTAAGTTTTCACAAAATTTCTCAACGTAGTGTAATTGTGTTCTCGCGTTAGCAACTATATGTACCAAAATATTTGTTTGATAAAACGTTACGCATTCGTAAGGGAGACTTTGAAGCATCTGCATTATGTATGCTGAATTTGTCCGCCGAGATTAAACTCACACACATATTGGAGACGTGTCTAATAATCCATAAAGTTGTCATTTTGGATAGCAATATCTGCTATGCAGACTTGACATAATACTAGTCTCATATCTCCTGCGTGTGCATATACACACGTGCACTGGAGATGGAGTGGGGAAGTTGGAGAGGGTCGATTAGGTGGGTGGGGGGGTTACAGAGAGAGAGAGAGAGAGACGAGTAGCGAGTCGAAGCTCAACGGTCCGTGTATTGCATTAACGGAGGATGCGTGTTCATATACGTGCGTGTACACATACCAGTCTCGTGGAAGAGTCCCAGGATACTCTTCAGTCGTACGTGCATGTGCATCCATATACGCGCCGTATATATGTACGTACGTACGTACCTTTATGCGCCTCACATGTAGAGGAGTCTAGGCCATCAAGTGCGCATCGCTAAAGCTCGATTGAGTCGATTGCTCGCGTGCACGGGGCTGAGAATTCTGCACTTCTGCTGCTGCTGCTGCTGCTGCTGCTACTACTGGCCTCTCTCTCCTGTATCGACGGTTTGTATGCATCCGGATCCGAGGAGATATAGCCCATACACGTACCCTCCCAATAATGACGCGAGTGATGCATTGACAATTAAGATGAGAAAGCGGCCCTGGCGTCTCTGCTGTCTTGATAGTAGTTTCACGTGTATACGAGTTTCAGATGTTGTAACTAATAGATCATGCGTGTATGGCTTCGATGCATATTATATAACAAACGTCTTATCGTTAATTTACGATACAATGATCAGTTTTGGATCGATTGCACTTGGTAACTTTGTCTTCAACAAAATAAGTCGTACTATCGAATTCGAAAACAAGGACTTTTCCTAATTTTCTACGTAAATTTCATCAATGGGTTAGCTTGAATTATTAAAAAGTACATTAGTATAGTAAGAAGACTAAACCATTCGTCACTGTTCATAAAATCTTGGTTAAACTAATGAAATTTAATATTCTCCTTGAAAATATTATATCTCGCTTCACTCATTTTCATTCATTTATTTATTCGAAGCATATACTTCAGAAGGATTAATACGCTCGTCGCAGAAAAGTATCGAGTGCGAATGACATGTTGTTCATAATATTAGATAAATAGTTATTTTATCCGATGGCAGCGCATTGGTAATTCTCTCAAGTATCGGCGATTTGTTATCATACGTTTTGTCATAATCGTTGGCCTTTTTTTTTAATTTTAAGAAACAATGCGATACAGGCGAGTCACAATACAAAGTTACCATAGTCGAATACATATGCGATATAGGCTGGTACACAGCATTTCGCTCGCTCGGATAGTTGGCCTCGTGCCAGAGAGAGAGAGAGAGAGAGAGAGAGAGAGAGAGAGAGGGAGCTAACTATTAACGAAAAAGCCTCAAAACACGTACGAATATTGCACGATCGAATCTACGATGCGATACAAGAGAGCGGGAAAGAGAATAAATGGGCAAAGGGGAAAATAAGAGCTGAAATGTCTTGGAAAGCGTCTGAATGTGACGCATTGATTTATTTTCAAGTTAAGAGACTTAAGTGGAAGTAAAAAGCTGTAAACTATGTACGAAATATTTGTCAATTGCAGAAATAGTTCCTGTGTAATGTACTACTCACATGTACTAGGATCGTTTGACTCTTCATTTAGTCAAAGCATCTGGAATTATTGATGCTAAAGCTGTGCCTGTCATTCAATCGAATATAAAGTTTTTCATGTATAGATTTTTGAAATTTCTTCTGTTATTCCTACAAAGTTATATAAGAAATAATTCAAAAGATTAGTACAGAAAGAAAAGTTTTTATAATTTAGATAGTGGTAAATATATCTCCGCAAATACCGTCGTATCGTCGTTACTTGGATATTTACGCTGTCAATCAATCCTCGAGCTTTCTGCGACGTTCTTTAAACAAAACTTCGTTAGACTCGGTCTTTCGCGCAGTTATCGATAAAAAATCATGAAAACTAGAAATGTAACGACTTTAAAAAAATAACTCGAAAGAGGGGAAAAAATTGATGTCGAGCCGTGTTCCAGCGGCGGAAGGATCCGATTATAAACTAGTGGTACGAGGCGCGGCGACAAAGAACAAGACCGAACTTGCAGCGCAGCCGATGATGATGGCCATGGTGTGTGTTCCGCTGCGCAGGATAAAGCTGTGAAATTAATCAGCCGCTGTCGTCATTATGGCAAGCCTGACCGAGCCGTCTGATCATCAATAACCAATTTCCTAAAACCAATATCGCGAAAATTAGTTTCTCACCACCTTTCCTCTTCCTTTCAACCTATACCCTCTTAGCTATCTCTATCTTTCTCCCTTCCTACCGTGCCGCCACTGCTGCTGCTGCTGCTGCTCTTACTACTGCAGCAGGCATAACTTTTCCCTCTTTTCGCTAGATATATAAACTGTATTACCTGACATCATCTGTCTTCGATATATCTCTTCCATTTATCGTGGGTGTATCATTTTTGGGAAAATGGAAGGATCTAATTTTTGCTGAACTTGCTTTAACGTATCACTGTATTATTTTACGATAATAATGAAAAAAAATATTGGACATAGGCATCGATGATTAATTGTTTTATACTAATCAACATTACTAGGAATTATATTACAGTCGAAAAATCACGAATTCATGGGAAATCGTACTCAAGACAAACGTTTAAAATAGCTCGTTGTCAAGCGAATCGAATAGGTTGATGACACGTGCAAGTGAAACGCGAATATCTTATTCGGGGATTGTCTCGTGCTTCTCGTGCCATTGGCTTGGGCTCGTGTTCTTCGGACTCTTCTTTCAAGGAGAGCAAGAGGTTAGTAGTACGCAAGGCCAAACCGCATACGCGGACGTTTGAAGATTAAAGGGTGGATTAATCAAAAGCACTGCAACGACGGCAGCAGTGGAAGCCCAAGCTCCTCTCGCGTATTTCGAGTGCTTACATATACATATCGAAAGGGGGATAAAGCGAGAGTGCGAGGGGCAGAGAGGGAGGGAGAGAGAGAGAGAGAGAGGAGAGCGGCGCCAGAAGAGGGAAGAGCAACAGAAGAGATGCAAACCGTTCATACACACACACATACACAGAAACGTATATAGCTATGGCGTGTCATGGAGTTATTAGGTTTGGAGAGGCCAGAAGCAGCAGCGGCGGCGGCAGCAGCAGCAGTGTCAAGAGTTGCCGATTAGAATTTCGAGCAGGAGTGCCGCAAGTTTGCCGACTGATTGGATTCTCATTGATGGTTGTGTGTAGCGGCTGCAGTAGCAGCAGTAGCGGCGGCGCCCATCATGCGCACAAATCGAGCTATACATATATTTGTGTATATATATTATACTCACTCACACATTTATATAATGGAACATAACTATTCAATCGACTTGCAGCAGTAGCAGCACGGGAGCATAGACAAGCGCAAAAAGCTCTAAAGTTCCATTTTGCCGCAGCTTGCGCGTCACCGTGGCTTCGTTATATGCCAGAATTTTGAAATTCATACAGCATAACGCGAACATAAAGTTCTTTTTTCGAAAAAAAAAACGAGAAGAAAGAAGGACAAGAAAATATACAATATATAAAAACAGAGGTAAAGAAACGAAAGTTTAAAAGCTTACAGTCGCAAGTTCACGGAGAGGCGTAGCAGCGGCCGGTAGTAGTAGCATGTACAGCAGTGCAGGCGCAAGCTCACAGGGGGGGAGCAAACTTTCATTACTCGACAAATTACCCTAATTCGGCGCGTTAGCCTCTTGTCGGTTAGAAAAGTTTCTCGTCGGCGCGGTGGCAGTAGTAGTGGAGAGCAGCGGCGGCAGCACAGGCACGCTCGCACTCGGCTCGAAAAGAAGAATTAGAGAAAAGAAGCTTGAACACGCGCGATTACCATCTCTTTTTCTTTTGCTGCCGCCGCCGCCGCCGCCGCAAGAGCTTTAACTCATACATATTACTCGAGAGCGAGTGAAAGTAACGAAAAGTAACGAAAAGTAACGATCGAGCTTCGAGACTCGCTGCGCGAATCAATTCTCTCTCTCCCTCTGCGCGCAACATCGCGGCAACAGTTGCTCTAAGCCTTCGACCTTTTCTCAGCCGCGCCTCGCCTTATCTCGTATGTGAGAGCTGCCAGGAAGCTGTTACAAGTATTAAACTTTGCCTCGAACCCCTCGCCCGGTCGCGGCCCCGCCGCCGCCTCCGCTGCATTACCGATAAAGCTTCGAGCCTGTATAGGCTTTTGCTCCCACAGAATCGCGTGTATTGGGTACAGAGAGTAGAATGGCACGAGCTCACCGCAGCGCGCGATAGCGGCAACCGTATGTGCGCAGTATTATGCGGAGCGAACTCGAGGCCCTAGTCTAGCTAGCTAGCTATGTATGGGTAGCGCGTGGGCGTCATTCAATATTTAGCGAG